AGAAGAACCAAGTCTACGAAAGTTAGTTATTGCACAGTGTGGCTGTTACTGTGTACAGTGTTCTTCAGGTTCTGCTCACTTCACTCAGCATCAGTTCATATAAGTCTTTCCAGGTTTTTCTGAAGTCTGCCTGCTTATTATTTCTTATAGCACAATAGTATTCCATTCCATTCACATGCCACAACTTGTTCAGCCATTTCCCAATTGATGGACATCTTCTCAATTTCCAATTCTTTGCTACCACAAAAAGAGCTGCTATAAATATTTCTGTACATGTAGGCCCTTTTCCCTTTTGTATGATTTCTTTGGGATACAGACCTAGTAGTCCTCATATGTTTTTAACATCAATAGAACATGGGATGAGATAATTAATTTACTGGCAGCTAGGTGGCTCAATGAATAGAGTGCTGGGCTTGGAGTCAGGAAGACTTATCTTCTTGAGTTCAGATTTGGCCTCAGACACTTCCTAGCTGTGTGACCCTGGGCAAGTCACTTAACCCTGTTTGCCTAGATTTCTTCACCTGTAAAAAGAGCTGGAGAAGGAAATGGCAAACCACTCCAGTATCTCTACCAAGAAAACCCCAAATAAGGTCACAAAGTCAGACATGACTGAAAACAACTGAACAACAACCACAAAAATTAATTTACCATTTCCCTAATAAAGTCTTTGTAATAAAGTGTGAAGGTACCCGTGTGTATTTTCTGGTTGTTACCCTGTAATTTGCCTCTTTTCACACATCATACAACACTGAAACAAAATAATCTTCTTTACCTCCTTTCTTTCCCTTCTTCCTTCCACCACTACCTTCTCCTTTTCTCCCTCCTCCTATTTTTTTTTTTTGACTGAATTTTATAGTGAGAAACCAGAAATACATCCAAAGTCAATAAAGTATTTTTAGGCTAGGACATAGAATAAAGCACACTAAGGAAAAGAAAGCATATTTACATAACAACTATTTTGCCTTCCATTTTAGTAGTAATGTTGAATCTTTAAGGAGCTTTTCATGATGACATTCAGGCTTTTGTGTCATACTGCTTAATTTTTGTTTTCAATTTTGTGGTCAGTAAAAAATAGGGCCTGTAAGAATAAAAATACTTATACTTATGCTGTGACCCAAATCTCCCTGTTATGATTTGATCTGTATTTTCCACTGCTAGTCATCACTAGTTGTCTTTTGTTTTGTTTTGAACTTTTGTTTGGAGACATTTTGATTATCCTTGTTAAAAATAAGTACAGATATACTGAGCATAATTGTGCTATAAAACAGTTAAAATTGTGTTCCTAAACTGCAAAAGTATTTTTTCATCAGAGCAAGAAATGAAGAAAATGTTAGGTAAGTTCAGATCTGGTATGAATAATGAGTTGGGGCGTAGTAAGAAAACAAGTTTGATCTGGAAAAACTATAAAGTGAGTGCTTTGAATTTCTAAAAACCATCCTTTCCAGTCTTTTAGTCCAACCCCTCCCTAAATGAAGCATGACTCCAAGTTATAATATTCGTGACACATGGTCATCTCTCCTCTACTTAAAGGTCCCTTGTTATGGGGGACTTATTAATTGCTAAAGTAGCTCGTTTCAGTTTTAGAGAACTCTAGTTCCCACAGGATGCCACTCCTTTTAACAACCAGCCATTAATCCCTATTTCTATCCTTTAGGACCAAGTCCAATCTGTCTTCTACTTGGCAGTCTTTAAAATAAAGTCAGCAATCACGTATCTCTTAAATTTAATCTTTTCCCTCTTATTTCAATTGATCTTTACATGGCATGATTTTAACTTCCCCCACTATCCTGGCTGCCGTCTTATACTACATTCCAGCTGGTTAATGTAATTAATGCTCAGAAAGATAAAGCGTTGTGAAAGTGGACAAAAGGAAGGCCATAATATGAAATGAGTTTGTTTGTAAACAGCAGTATGTGTTTCTAGACAATGAGTAATGGCACGACCCTTGGAAATTCCAAGAGCCATTTTTTAGTAGTTAAGTGGTCAAAGCCTATGAACAAATAACTTTCAAAATAAAAATTGCAAACTATAAAGAACTGTATAAAAGGTTGTTCCAAATTAGTAATAATAAAAGAGATTTGAATTAAAACAGCTTTCAGATTTTGCCTCACACCTTCCAAATTTGTCAATCAACAGGTATTTATTAAGGGCCGACTCTGTGTCAGGCTCTGTACTAGGTGCTAGAGATACAAAAAGCAATGAATGAAATAATGGTTAATCACAATAAGCGTATATTACAATATAATTACAACCAAAGAGACAAGGACATGTATAAATATACACAGAATAAATATGAAATGGTTAAATACAACGTAGTTGGAGAGGGAGTTACAACTGCACTGGCAGGGGAGGTCATCGGGAAAGGCTTCTTCATGCAGAATGTGGTACCAAACTGACAACGATAGCAGATGATGCAATGTTGGAAGGGCTGCTGAAATACATTAATGTGCTGTTGGGAGAGCTGTGAATGGGTATGAATGTGAATGAATGTATACCAAAATATTCATTGCAATACTTTTTATGGTAGAAAAAAAAAACCCAAAAACAAAACAAAAAACAGGATATCAGCTGGGGAATGGTTTGACAAATTGTAGTATAAGAATACCATGGAATATTATTACACTCCAAGAAACAACAAATAAGTGAAATTCAGAGAAATATGGGAAGACTTCTGTGCAGAGTGTAGTAAGCATAACCAGGAAAACAATATATGCAAAGACAACAATAATACAATAAAAGTGAGATCAAATAAAGCTAAATTGTGAATTTATAATGACCAGTCTTGGCTCCAGAGAAAAGATGAGGGAATGTATGAATGAAAATCATTTATTAAGCATGTATGATGTGCCAAACATTTTGCTAAGTGCTACAGATACAAAAGTGAAACAATTCCTGCTCTTAAGACACCTATATACAGGGGAAGACAGTATAAATAAGAGAGTGGCCAGGAAGTCTTATCTGGTATGGGCAGGGGTGGGGGTGGGATATGTGTATGGGAAACAAGATGATGACAAGAAGATGCTCTGTATGGACAGCTAGGTAGAATGTGAATCATGAGTGAAGCTGCCATATGAGTCTGCTCTCACACTCTTATAAGGACAATCTGGGGGGGAGGGGTTAGAGTAGAGTTCTGTAATCAGTTGGATCAAGTTCCCCAGCAGGTGGTCTTTGGACATCAGAGGATGCACCATCAGGGCAAGTGGATTAATATATCTGTAATACCTATTTCAAAAATAGTTAGGAGGATCAGATAAGATAATGTCTGTTAAGCATTTTATTAATCTTAAATGCTATATAAATATCAGCTGTTTCTGTTTTTCTTTAAATTCTTATTGATATTTTTTGGAGGGAGATGTCAGCTGTTATCATTTTGGTATGGTATGGAAATTAAATAGAGAAAAATCAAAGTGCACCATATTGACATTTGGATTTTATTTTTTTTAAATCTTACAACTGGACAAAGACAATAAAATATCTTTAGTTTTAAAGAAAGGGTGACTTTTCTGTCACTGTACAACCTCTAATATATATCAGTGGTTTTTATAATAATTATGTGTTCCACCCAGATGACTATGCTAAAATGTCCTCCAGCACTAATGTCTGTATTTGGCCATTTGCCAAGGAGATTAATTAAGGATTAATAGAATGTGAAAGTGCTTGTGATAGGAAGATATTTTTATTTTGGTGGGTTTTTTTTTAATAAAGAAATTGTTTTCATATTCTTTCTATCTAGTACTTAAAATGAAGAGTGAGAACTTTCTTTTTCCATCTTAAGAATTGACAGATTACTTTGCTTTACTGAGTTAGTTTGATATTTTCTTGGTTTGTACTCCTAAGCACATACTTTTTCTTTTTTTGGGGGGGGTTAGGCAAGGGGGTTAAGTGACTTGTCCAAGGTCACACAGCTAATAAGTGTTATATGTCTGAGGCTGCATTTGAACTCAGATCCTCCTGAATCCAGGGCCCTTGTTCTATCCACTGTGCCACCTACCTGCCCCGAACAGTCACTTTCTTAAAGGAAATTGTTTTTGTCCTTCATTCTAGAAGGGGACCATGACATCAGGGAGGAGATGGTCATGATTTGCAAGTAAATTGGATTTAAGTGAGGCAGGGCTGTGAAGTCATCAGCCTCACTTTTTCCTCAGGACCCATCTTGGACTAGGGGCAAGATATAGGTCAGGACGATTACAAATGGTCCCAGATGCAGTGAGAGGCCTTGGCCTTTATAAGCTAAGGTCTTTCCCAGATCTCATTTTGTCTGAGGCAACGCCCATTCAATGATTAAGGCTAGGTAAAAATGAGGCAAAAAATGACCTCTTTTACCCAGTCAATAAAATAAAATCAGTCTGCGAGGGAAAGACCCTCAGAGTTTCTGGCCAAAGTGGAAACAATTGCTGTTCACACTGACTCTCAGCCATCAGAATCTAAAAGGTGACCAAATGAGGCTTGGAATGGGACCCATTGTTGGCCAATCAATGAGGGCCAGAGTGATTTGGGTTTTAAGGTATGGTCCATAAAAAGAAATCTAGGACGAAAACCCCGAGATATCTTACTAGGTTTCAGCGATCAAGATTTATATTCCTTTGGGCAGAGCCCTTCTAGTTAAGGATATGATTCCCTATGTGGACAGAGGGAGAGGAGGAGGGAAAGAAAGAGCTGTGTTGCTTAACTGGAACTGGCCAGTTCAGTCCCTGGTGGGCAGCTACTACTGCAAATAAATTGGATTTAAGTGAAGCAGCCTCACTCTCTCCTCCCCCAAGGAAATTACAAATTAGCTAAACTAGTAGAACTTTATATATAGTGGTTTATATTTGTAAAAGACTTCTCTTCTTGTTAACCCCTTTAAATCTCAGGAAAAGAAATACTCTGATGTATAAGAATGCCATTTTCAGTTCTGTGTCTATTTGACATTCAGACATTTAAAAGATTCCTCTATTTGTATGTTTTTGCAAATTTCATTGCACTTCAACAATTTTGTTGGGTTTTTGTTTTTTTTTTAGATTGCTGGTATGTGTTATACCAGTAGTGTGTTAAAAGTTCATCAGGTGCTTTGCGTACCCCGCTGGATGGCAAAGTTGTTTTCTCAGACATTTGAGCCCATCTTCTCTTCTTCGGAGCCAGCCAGTGAAGTCAGAACTGGAATGGGAGCAACTGTAGACATTCAGAGACAGCAAAGAATGGAATTGCTTGATCGTCAGCTTATGTTATCTCAGTTTGCACACATGAGGCGGCAACGACAGCAACAGGTACTTAATTTTTTTTTAACCTGGTAGTTAACAAGGAGGCAGTTATCAGACTATTAAACTTCTTTTCATTTTTATATGATTTGGCATCGTGCTGTAGATTAATGGGATCATAGTTCTTTGTGCTTGAGTGGCCCTTGGGTCACCATGTAATGCAGACTTCGTGTCTTCTGATAGGACATGTATTTTCCCTAGTAGCTACTCAGCCTTTCCAGAAAGAGAAACATATATTAACTTAATTATTGCTTGAGTAAACTATGCATCATTCTATTTGTTTCAGACAAGTATAAGTTCTTGGAGAAACACCAACCTAGTTAGCAAGAAGTGATAATTATCTGGCTTTCTATCAGGTAAAAGCCACAGTGTCTTCCTGTTAACATGCTTGTAACGCCTCATTGACAGACAAATGTAACCACTATTAATTTTCCTTGATTGAGAAGGAGAAGACACAAATGGGAGAAAGTTTATAAGGACTTGTCCAAATACCAATTTAATCTCATTGTTTTCCTCTCTTTGGAAAATGTTTATAAAGTGTTCATTTGCATATGACAGTGTGCTGACAGAAATCAGATGCTGTAATTTACCAGTTATCAGACAGAGCTTAAAATACAGTAACATCTCATTAAACCAATACTGATTCAGAATAATTTAAACAACATCACTGGGTCCTTTGTTGTTGTTAATAAATGCTGAATAATTCAAGCATATTACTTCAAAAGTGCTTTGCCCTTCCCATTCTCTACCTTTTTAGGTTCCTTACATTCCTGAAGTAATGGGATTTTACTGTGTTTCTTTTTTTTTTTTCCTTTTTGGTGAGGCAGTCAGGGTTAAGTGACTTGCCCAGGGTCACACAGCTAGTAAGTGTCCAGTGTCTGAGGCCTAATTTGAACTCAGATCTTCCTGACTCCAAGGCCAGAGCTCTTTCCACTGTGCCACCTAGCTGCCCCTATTCTGTTTATTCTTGGTGAGCCTTGTTCATTCTTCTCATCAGCCTGATTTTTCTTTAAATAGGTAGATAGTCATGACATGAAAGTTGGGTCCCTGGTGGGCAGCTACTACTGCAGATAAATTGGATTTAAGTGAAGCAGCCTCACTCTCTCCTCCCCCAAGGAAATTACAAATTAGCTAAACTAGTAGAACTTTATATATAGTGGTTTATATTTGTGAAAGACTTCTCTTCTTGTTAACCCCTTTAAATCTCAGGAAAAGAAATACTCTGATGTATAAGAATGCCATTTTCAGTTCTGTGTCTATTTGACATTCAGACATTTAAAAGATTCCTCTATTTGTATGTTTTTGCAAATTTCATTGCACTTCAACAATTTTGTTGGGTTTTTGGTTTTTTTTTTAGATTGCTGGTATGTGTTATACCAGTAGTGTGTTAAAAGTTCATCAGGTGCTTTGTCCTGTATTTTCCTGTATTTTCACAAGCTTCGGGTGTTGGGGATAGGGCAGGAAAGGGACAGGTAAAGAATTCTTGTCATTGTTTTTTCATTGTGTCTTAGTACTAATACAAATATATTATTTTTAAGTTATGGTAGTACCGCTTGACTACAAATTATTAAGACTTGTTATTTCTTAGGGCATATGGAAATCAATGTTATTGCTTTATATATAGTCACCCCTGTGTAGTTTAGTGTCTATAGAAATTCAGCTATATACCCATTGCTCATACTGTAGCCACCACAAGGAGAAAACTATAAAGAATCAGGAAAAAGTATCACCTGACATCATTTGTACTTGATTCATTTGATGCTGCTAAGTATTACTGTGGTATATATTTTGATACTTGAAAAACTTTATATTTATTATGTGAGACAGCATAGGTGTTGGTACTCTCTCCTCTGCTGCAGATCCTGTACAATTCTATCCTGTAAAACTCTTGTTCATTTCTTCTCCTTTGGGGATCTACACAACAGTCTGGGAGCCTTCCTCTAGATCTCATAGCATGTAAAAAAGTGAGCATACAAGATGTCTAATTTTTCTCTCTCACTCTTCTAACGTGACCATTCCTTCTGTGGCAAAACAGAATATCTGACAACATTCTTTGTGCTACTTCTCCAACACTCTTCTTCACCAAAGGTTTTCAAATCTCTAGGTTTTCTGGCCACTTGCATGTCATAGTCTGAACAATAGACATTCTTCATCTTCTTTGTCTTTCATGTGTGGTTAGCCAGGTTGGACTCTGTGGAGTGATTATGAGAGCAACCTAAATGGAGCTGGGTGAGCACAGTGGCACCTACAGATAGGCACATCTAGAGGACCGTCTTTAGAGAATCTACGCTGGATTTTCTCCATGTCAGATACTTTTAGCAAGCATATGCCCCCGCACCCCCCCCCCGGTTTCTTGTCTCATTTGATATTAATAATCAGAAGAGGGAGTGGTGGGCACGGGAGATGGGGACATTTTTGTATAATTTAATCCTCTGGATATTTATGCCTTAGATTACCTCACTAAAGTTTTTCACAATTTTGGATGGTATCTTCTCATAATATAGAGAAGGATCTCTGGGAATTGAATAGCTGTCAGTGTGTGTTATTGAATAGCTAATGGGACTAACAACTAAATTAAATTTAATAAATTTACCAAATGCTCATTTACAAAATCGTAGCTTCAGAGTTGAGAGGTAGCCCCAAAGCCACCTGGTCAATTCATACTCCAAAAAAAGAATTTCCACTGTATCACACTTCAGTGTTATGCAATCTTTGCTTGAAAACCTCCAGTGAGGGTAATCTTAAGAATGTTTTCCTTACATCAGCCTTCATTTGGCCTCACTGCAACTTCTACCATTACTCCCTATTCTCACCTTGGAGACCAAATAGAACAAAACTAATTTATCATCAGTATGACAGCTTTTCAGATACTTAAAGGGAGCTCTCTTGCCCTGACTGAGTTTCTCCTTTGGAATAAAAATGAGCAGTTCCTTTAACTGATCCTTATGTGATGTGTACTCAAGGCTATCCACTGTTCTGGTCGCCCTTCTCTGGATACTTTAGATTGCCCACATCCCTCTTTGTTCATTGCCTCTCACCTGTAATATACTATATTATACTAAGTGCTAAGGCTACAGTGACAATCCAAAAAATCTCCAGCCTTTGAAGGAGCTTGTATTCTGCTGGGATGACAAGTATGCCCAAATTAAAATAGGGGCCATTTGGTTCCAGAGAAAATAATTTAGGCAAAAACTTCATTAGGAGAAGTTTTGAGAGATTAGAAGTAAAGGGGCAAGGAAGAGAGAGATAAAAGCAAAGTTGAAGAATATTATATCCTCATCATCAGCATTTCTATATATTACCAACAAAACCCAAAGAGAAATTCCATTCAACCACAGAATGTATACCTAGGACTCTACTTACCAAGACACAAACAGAGACTGTATGAATACAAGCACAAAACAATCTTTATGTTGTTAAAGACCGACATAAGTAATTAGAGAAATGTTACCTGCTCATTGGCAGGCCAAGCCTAATGTAATAGAAATGACAGTACTGCCTAAATTAATTTACTTATGTAGTATCATCCAATCAGACTACCAAAGGTTTACTTTTTAAAGCTAGAAAAAAATAACAAAATAGATCCAGATGAAAGGTCAGGAATCTCAAGGGATATGTGGGAAAAAGTAGCAAGGAAAGGGGATCTAGCAATACCAGGTCTTAAACTACACTACCAAGCAGTGATCACTAAACAGTTCAGTCGTGGTTAAAAAACAGCAAGGTTGATCAGTGGAACAGACTGAGTACACAGGACACAGAAGCAAACAATCATAGACCCATAGTGTTTGGTGGGGATGAGAGGAGAAGGGAATAAGCATGTATACGACATATGTGCTTGGCACTGTGCTGAGTGCTTTGCAAATGTCATCTCATTTGAGCCTTACAATAACTCTCTGAGGTAGGTGTATTATCTCCACTTTACAGTCAAGGAAATTGAGGCAAATAGAGATGAAGTAACTTGACCAAGATCGCACAGCTATTAAGTGTCTGAAGCTGGATGAGAACTCAAGTCTTCCTGACTCCAGGCCCAGCCCTCTATCCATTGCCCCACCTAGCTGCCTATAGGCAGTCTTTGGGTAAACCCAAAGATCCCATTTACTTGGTAAGGACTCACTTTTTGCGGGGGGGAAAAAACCTTCTGGTAAAACTAGAAAGCTATCTGTTAGAAATTGGTCACTAACCAACGTCTCATTCCATATGCTAAGTTAAACTCCAGGTCAGTACGTGATTAGGCATAGTGGCATCATAAGCAAATTAGAGGAGCAAGAAAGAGATTACCAACAATTCATGACGAGGCAGTGTATAGAAAGCATCATGGAAGATAAAAGACAATTTCAGTTATATAAAATTAAAACATTTTTGCATAGACTAAACCTATGCAGTTAAAATTAGAAGGGAAAAAAGCAACTGAGAAAGAGACTTTGTAGTAAGTTTCTCTGATGAAGGCCTCCTATCTAAGCAAAAGTCATTACCCAATTGATAAATGATCAAAAGACAGAAACAAACAGTTTTCAAAGAAAGAACTCTTAGTTGTCAAAAAAACATATGGGGAAAAGTGCCAAATCATTAATAGAGAAATTAAAATAAGGAAGCTGTGAGGCCCTACCTCACACCCATCAGATTGGTAAAGATGACAAAAATGGAAAATGACAGTTTTGGGCGGGACAGTGGGGGGAAAAAAGCATACTAATACGCCGTTGATGAATCTGTGAATTGGTTCAGCCATTCTGAAAAGCAGTTTGGAACTATGCACCAAAAATCACTAAACTGTGTGTATATTCTTTGACTCACTTATACCACTACTTGGTCTATACCCCAAAAATATCAAAGAAAGAGGGAGAAGACTCATATGGGCAAAAATATTTATAGCTATCTTTTTTTTTTTCAGTAGTAGTAGTAGTAGTAATAGTAGTGGTGGTGGTAGTGATGGTGGCAGTAGCAGTAGCAGTAGTAATAGTTTAGTAGGAAATTGGTAGACAAATTTTAGTTGGTTTGTTTTTTTACTGGCA